TAAAAAAATTTGGTGTTAATAAAATTTTCTAAAATTCCAGGAAATTCATCTTTAATATCCTATAAAATTAGTAATAAATTAGTAAAACCTTTTTTACTAGTTTAGACTAATTTGAAACTTTGCTATATTAGGAAAAATTATATGACTATATTTTTCAATAAAAAAAATGATAAAAAATTACAATCAATTCTTTATTATTTTAATATATATTTATATATTATATATAAACAGCTATATTTTTAAAATATTTTATTTCTTTCAAAGTGTTTGATGTTCATGGAATCTAATTAAAATGTGAAAAAATAATTTATAAAGTATGCTAATTTAGAAACAAAATTATAAGTTTGAGCATGATATTCAAATCGATTTTCTTCATTTCAATCTTTCATCTTAAAAATTTAAAAGAATTTTGCTTTAATTTTTTTATAATAAAATTGTATTAATTTTTTAGAAATTCAAAAAATAAATTTTATAAATATATAATTGAATAAATATTTTATGCAAAAAAAATCTTCAAAAACCAAATTTATAAGATTTATTTACTAAATAATATTCGTTAAATTAAAAATTATGTATAATAAGTTATTATCATAATTTTGAAATTGCAATTTCAAATATACTTTTGGTAAAACATCTTTGTGTTTTTGCATGGTTTGATTACTTTTACAAGATTTTCTGTATTATTACCTTCTTGTGTGAACAATGCATGATTAAAAATACATTCCATTCGCTTATATTTGAACATATATATTGATTGAATATGAATATAACGAAATTTTTGTGCCAAAGTTTCAATAATTTACTACAAAATATGGAAATTATTCAAGAGTGAAATGAAATGAAATTCAGAGATTTATAAGTCAAAACGTGTCTGTGCAGTGATGCTATGAGTTCGGGTAGTCCTAGATATACGCAGTGATCACATGTACGCGCATTTCAAAAGAATTTCCTCCAAGCCGAAGCAACTTAGGCTTATATCATCTAGGATTGCCTGCCAAATAACATTTGGCATTAAAAACAAGAAGACGTAAAAAAGAGACTGATAAGTATTCAAATTTTGATTCAACTTAGATGAAAACATTGTTCTAAATTATTTCTAATCAAACAGAATTTGTGAAATATTAAAACTTATGTATAATTACACTGTCACAAATTTTAATATTTCACAAACACAGTGATGATTGAATCCAATTAAAGACTAGCCATTTCATGTTGAAAGTGAAGTAAGAGTTTAGAGTTATTTTTATTTTTACAATATATTTGATAAGTTTAAAGGAAGGATGTGAAAAGCCATGATAGAAAGATTGAATCTGGTTCATAGCAATGTCATAACAGGATGAAAAGTGTAAATGTGATGAAAAACGTATCGATTGTATTTACTGACATCCAATCTTACGCGAACAACTCATACCAAAAAATTTGCAAACTACTCTTTTTCCTCGATTTGGTGGATTATTCCAACCAGAATCTCTAAAAGCAACAACTCTGTATATTTTTTAATTTTACTAGGAGTTGTAATGTTAGAAAAGACGCTTTTAAATAAAGGTTTCATTTCACATTATAGACTCGTGGCAGTCTCTAGCAACGTGGGAGCATGACAAGGGATCCATAAAAGGTAACTAATCAAATTCACTGTGCTGTGGAATTAGTTCTCTCTTCCAATTTCAGTAGATTTTTATAAATTTGTGTGATTCAGAGTTAAAGTTTGATACCGGTATATATGACTATAAACTCAAAAAATGAAAATGTCATTCAGTCCCAATCTTACACACTCTTATTCTTTCAGACCTGAAGCTTAAAAATCCAAAACCTAAAGCTTCTCAGATATAGATTAAAATCATGTTTTGAAAACTTCTACTGAATACAAGACTAAAATATTGCTTGGATACAATTCAAATACGATCTATGACTGTTTAAATTAATCAAGGACTTAAAGAAATTTCAGTGTTTCATATCAATGTGATTATAAAAACTATTTCATTAAAAAAATTTCTATATATTTTTGTAGACAGTAAAGTAGATGAGCGTTTTGTTTTCTCTTTTCACCAGCTCAAAGTTTGAGATCATTCTTAAAATAGACATATGTATGATATACATGAAATACATTCACATCTTGATTTATTAGCTATTACGATAATCTAGAGAAGCTTTAATTTTTGTTGCAAATGGAAAAGAACATCGTTAACAATCTTAACCTTTTTTATAGGCATCTTTTGTATGCACAAGAAATTAAACGAGAGTATTTACCATGTGCTATCCTTTTGGCAGCATTGGGCATGCAGCGATTGATGTCAGGGAGCTTTCTGAAGGCAGGGACTGCTTGCTCCCCGTCATGTGGGACTACGGTATCCTGTCTGCTGGCAGATCGCGCCATTAGGTCTTGACGACTAAAGCGCTTAGCCTTGTATTGCCACGTGTTGTGGCATTCTGCTGGAGAGATCAGAGGCGAAGCAGGAGCTTCAGATTGTTTTGTTTGGAGATTGGGGTCTCGATTGCATGCTGTGCATGTGGAATTCATCGGCATGTTGACCTTGCTCTGTGTCCGTCAATCGATGTACTTGTCGATATGAAATTGAACTAGTTTGTCAGAGTCCAATCGTTCCGATGAAGCAGTATCGTGCTTCATGGAGTACTGTAAACCTCTGCTTATTACTGAGAAAGATTGATGATGTCGGGGTGACAGCGAGTTTCTCGGAAATAGATGTCCGTGAGTTTTTTCTGAGGTGAGATGAGTGAGTTGTCGTTTGCATCCGCAAAAACCGGATGAAATCCTCTGTGATGGCTTCCAGATTGACCTCTACACTCTCGCCACTCACTGTGGAGTAAGTTTATGTCCAATTCTGTTTGCTCAGTGTGGTTGAATCGCTTGCTATCCAGCGTCCGGTAAGATGTTGCGGTCGTTGATAATTGGGAACGCACAAAAGAGCATTTCAACGCATTTCAGTGTCAAGCGTTTCTAATTTGCTTCGACGCACTCTGGGCGTGTATGTTTACTGTACAGGTGAGCGTTGCATTGGAGCAGGTGGGGTGTGGAATACAGTATCACCATCACGAAGGGATATCATATAGCGCTTGAGTTTATTGTTGTCAACACCAGCTCAAAAAATCCGGTAATCACAGATCCAAATGGTCCAGGTCTTGTGGTTCTCCACCCTACCAAACTCCGTATCTAAATATGAACCAGTTGCATGCTCCATGTAATTTCTAATTCGATGGTTGTAGAGAATTTGTGCCAATGTTAAGCTAGCGTGTTTGAACTTTGATTCTAGTAAGTAAACCTGACATTTCTGATTGAGTCCACGAGTTTGAAAATTAGCGAGTGTCACATCTTACGCACATTTAACAGCGATACAGAAATCATATGCGAAGGCGCACATAGTTTATTTGCCGAATTTTTGTACTGCAGAGCATGATGCTATACGCTGCCGACCCTGTTTCCTTATTTCTCTCGCCACATGTGTAGCATACATGTGATATCTAAGAGGCCTATGCTTATCTTATCCATCTATCTATCTACACCACAGGACTACCAAGTCCTGCGGTGTTTACACGACTGGATCGCAAATCATTCAATTTGTTTAGAGTGATATATTGGTGTACCTCGCGCTGAAGACAGTCAAGTCTATACCGTCCAATCACAGCCTTGAGTTTGAAACTTTTGAATGTGCTTTTTTAACATGACAGGAGGTGGTCCGATGTTTGGACAGGTTAGTATTCTTGTCTAATTACGACCTTATGTTCTTCCTCATCTCGTGTGCAACAAGACTATGACTGGTTGACAACAAAATCCTTTTGTTTTCCTTTTCACAAAAGGAAAGCGTTGAGATTGTCCTATGATGCTCCTGACCTCGTGACGCAACGTGCGTCTTCACCTCTTTGTCTTGCTGTCTTGTCTTTGTCTCGCTTGTTCAATCGCAGTTAGTTTTACGGTCAAGGGGAAACACCTAAATTAGGCAACCGTATTCATGTTAATCATAGTATGCTTTTTGCGAAAAAGCTGCTGTTGTATTCATCGATGCAACTGGTACTGAACACATGACAAGGTTACTACACTCGATAATGTGCTCCAGCGTGGTTGTATGATTGCATGCTACTTACTGCTTCAATCTCGGGCGAGGAGGATGTCATCGTGATCATGTACATTTCCAAATTTATAATGGGTTCCAAAACATAATCTTGAAGAATAGTCTTGAAAAATCATAGAACGTGCAGGTAAAATAGACCCTAAGAAAGGTCTGTTTTGGACCGATACCGACCGATACCCGTTTAAACGTGTTTCGTATTTACACCAAGTCGTCCATTACATTATTCGGGATTTCATCATGGTCAGAAAAGATTTACTTGGTACTTTCTGTTTTTTTTTTAGTTTCATTGTAATGGCATGCAGATTCTTCTCCCTTCTCTATCATCGCTCTGGGCTGGCCAGAATAATGAACTTTTCTCCTTAGACAGGGGTTATTGGCTTCAAAATTGGAACGTAAGTGACCGTGTTCCACGCTATAAGAAAGCCTTGACACAATATGGCTACTGTCGTTTACAGTAACACACTTTGTGACATTCTCAGAGTGTAAATCTTAGCATTGACTTAGCACGAAGATGGCCTTCAAAATGCCGGACGCGAGTCAATCTCGGCCCACTGCAACTTACGGAATGACACCAAGTAATGGGACATTGGGATTCGCGAAGCTTCACGCGAGAACGCAATCAGAAACAGCTGATTCTTGACTGCACAAACTGACCGATTCAGTCTGGTTCTGGAACCAGACCGAATCATCCACACAGTCACATGAAAGAAAGCCGACGACAGAACATAACAAAACCGGCTACATTCAAGCGACGCTTCTACAGATCAGGTAGCAGCCTCATGAAATTTGGTGCTTCCTAACCACCCAAATTACGACTATCTCCTAATGTCGGCTTTCGACGCAGCGGAGTATTTTCAGGTCAGTCGTTTCATGTGGTCATGAGCCGTCCGGCTTGTGAGCCAGAATCTCCTGGAGATGTTGAATGTAGATCTCATCGTCGGTTTTATGGGTCCAGGTCTGGTTTGCGTCGAAGCGTTTGAAGAACCAGAAGGCTACATTGGCCATCTACTTTTCGCCAGAGGATGTGAATTCCTTCATGTTGTTCGTCTTTGCGGGCCTGGTCAATTTCGAAGATTGAGAATCATGGTGGGATCAGTGACGTTGGTGGTCTCGAAGGAAGTGAATTCCTTCATGTTGTTCGTATGTGCTGAACCGAAGACATCTGATCCCTACTCTTCCTGTTTGCCACCGTTGGCAGCAAAAGCTTCGATTTCATTCCATGTATCCAGTATAGTCATTGTTCACTGTCCGATAGATGATCAGGAAATGGACAAAGACCAATGTCTGTGCGGACATAACTTGCATTCATCCTAAAAGTGCAATCAGAACGCCGCAGAGGATCACCTGCCTCGCTTTGGTTTGCCTCCCTTCCGTCCTTGATATTGTCTGTTCATTTCCCGAGTACTTTTACTGGAAAGAAGAACGACAACCTTTGATGAAAATTACACCCAGCAGTTAACATCCAGAAAACTCGTCATTTCCCCACCTGACATCAAAGAATCACTCCAACCCAATAGTATATCTCAACTTGAGAACTGACAAAATAAGTACACAACATGCAAATTCTATTTCTAGATCCCGTAAAATAGAAGAAGAAGATGACGAATTTCTATTTATATTGAAAAATGAGACCAGAAAGCACGCAATTCCAGTCGCGTAAATACCAGAAGCGCTAGTATCTGCTTACCCCAGAAAGGAGAGCGGATCCTGGTCCGATGCACAAGCAATAATGTTATATCGAAGTCATGGCAAAAGAGAAAAGCTAAGGTGTGATCCGGGACATAGCAAGACCAGATGGTGCTCTATTTAGCATCTTCATGCTATTTGATCATCCGACTTCTTGCATACTTTTATTTCTGTACTGCCATCTCTTCGATCAACGCAACAGCAATTTAGATCAAGTTTTGTTTGCATCTCTCGTGATTTTGCATCGAAACTCTAGCGTCCTGATGACGCTCTTGGAGGAATCTTTACCTCATCTTCTTGAGGAGTTAATCGAAATAGGCATACTTAAGGAGATCCCAATCCCACATCTTTAAAAAAGCCATGTATTGAACATCATACGCACTCAGATACTTAAAATCTCTAACCTTTTATCCAAAAACATTTTCCATACTTAACGTATAAAAGCATTTACCTTGGATCATAAGCCTTCACTGAGGTACATCTTGATTTGGCTATGTTTTTTGGTTTCAATGTCGTCAGCATAGGCTACTAAATAATTTCCAATATCGGAATCGATCTCCTCCTGGTGTATTTCACTAAATATTCCTGTTGAGTTCATTCTACTTGGCGACTTGCTTGACCTTGTTCAGATTCTGAGTACTTATTTTGCGCTTTTTCACTTCAGTAATAGCCAACTAATATTCAGTAATCTTCTCACATAATACAGCGTGTGTGAGAGAAGTTGTTTGCGCTAGATATTCATCTCTTCATAATTTTGCTACCAACTCATGAGAATAATTTTTCCAGTCATGCAGATTTAAGCAATCCATTAGAGAGCACATGTACATTAAGATTGATAACAAGTAGAAACTACAATTTATCATCCTTCATGATAAGATTCCATTCCTTATAAATTACTCACAAATTTTTTTCTCAAATCCAGTAATATCAGTATGTCACCACAAAATATTCACTCGCACAATCTCAAATACGTTGTCTACAAGATGTTGTTTTTTATTTCCAAAACGAGTAAGCAGATAATTCTACATAAATTATGCGTCCTTATGTTTGTTGTCATTTTCTTTTATTAGAATTTACAGTCATATGTTTTGCATACGGTAGAAACATTGCGTAAACAATTGGACATTCTAGTGTTTGAAATGTTATCTTCTTTTTTAGCTTTTAGATATAATTATTCTTTACAACTGTTGCGATATTATGAATTAATTAAGGTTGTTCATTAACTGCCTGGAAGGCCCCTTTCCAATCTATAAATCTGAAAAATATACATGAAAATGTTGATAAAAAATTTTATCAACTGAAATAAAATAAAAATTTATCAATTACATTTTCAAATGTAATTGAAAAATGTAATTGAATGTGATTAATGATTATTTCTTAGGCCTAAAATATTTATTAAAAGCTGATTCAATAAAGTGAAAATCATTTTTAAAAAAATGATCGATCTGCAAACAAAATCTCTTTTAAATAACACTGAAAGTTTTTTGGGAATTTGAAAATCAACTGAGCAAAATCCAAATAGCAAGATTTCTCGTTTAGCTTTGAGTCAACACATCATGATAGGGAGTTGGTTAGGATATTGATTAACTTAGGTTAGATTGAACCTAGTTAGTTATATTAATTAATCTGCCACTTTTTAGCTGAGTATGACACAAATTATAATTTTTTAAATAAATTTTGTTATGTTTACTTCGACGAGGAATATAAAGGAAAATCACGTAATATAATATGTTTACATAATATGTTTACGTTATTTTCTTCTGATGAATTCCTGACAGCAATGAGTGGAAGCATTTGATTACATTCACTTTTAAAGCCGTTTTTCAACTATTTTTATATTATAATAAATTTTTTCTCTATATATATTTTGGATTATAACATTATAGAATTAGAGAAATTAGAGAATGTATTTTATCAATGATTTGAATGACTAAAATTTTGCAGCGAATGTGAAATAAATATTCTATTAATGTGTTCAATATAGTTTCATATTAAGTTCAAACGTTACAACTCATATTGAAGCTTGATCAGCGCTACAAACCGCTAACTTATTTTCCCAAAAGTAATGAATTATCTACGATGATTCATTTAAAAAAAAGCCATTATACTATTTGGCTGTTAATGATATCGGCTATTACACTTATAATTGTACATCTTTGATAAATTCTATAGTGTACAGTAGTGGAGTTCGAAGATCGAGCCCGGCGTCCTAGCAGTTGCAGGGATCGGCGGCCGGATAGTGCGTGAGTCACGGATTAAAGCACTTATCGGGGAATAAAACCCGATTTCGGAGACTCGGAGGCTGTCGGGTTTAATTAAAAAACCAAATAAAACCCGATAGTGAAAAACAGCGTGGTGCCAGCACTGCTGACAAGGCCCCGGAGGACTGTCCGACAGGGCCCCACATCTCTGGATGAGGTTTCTTCTGTTGTCGAGTGAACTTTTAATAGGTCTGTTATGGAATTTGAGGGTCGACGGGACACTAAACCAAAGGGAGAGGGCTTTGCTCTCTTCCCCAGGGGAGAGGTTCAAGCTCGTTACAGTACTTAGAAGAGAAAGGTAGTACTTCCAAGTTATATTCTTGCATTATTCACTAGCTATTGTAAGTGATATGAGTTGCAATAAAGTACAAAAAGCTAAAAATCGGAAAAGCATCGGATTACAAACTGAATTTCAAAATCTTCTTAAAATTTGTAAGTAATAATTCATATCATTTTTACAATTTAATGATGATGAATTGAAATCCAGTACAATCAGACAGTTTATATGTAGATGTGAAAGATTACATCTATATATACATTTTCAACTTTCAAAAAATATGAACTAAAATACAAAAAATATCAGCATAAGTTCAACATAAGTTTCTTAAACCGAAAATGATAAGTTTTTTCATACCCAAACTTTTAAGATGATGAAAACACAAGAATCTCATCAATAAATCAATTTTTTATCAATACAAGTGAAGAATTATGTTTTTATCTAAACTAATTCCATGTCAGCTCTATTGTGATGCACTTTTAAAAACAAAACACTGTTAAAAATTTTTATTATCATATTTTTTAATCAAGCTTGATATGTAATAAGATAAATCTATAGAGGACATTTCAACACCTTTTATAAATAAACTTGATTGAGACACGTACTTTTTAAAAACTTTATGATGAGCAAGATATCATAATTCAATGTCTTGTATTTTATTAACATATGTGTTGAGACAGTGTGAGAACATAATATATCAGTTTGTTGCATTGTAAGTGCAACACAAATTGTAGTTCAAAGTACATTTAATTTATGTAATGAATAAGCTCTAATGAAACTCATTTTTAACTAGTCTTTCTCTTATGTTATCTATAATAGAACCAACTTTCTTCATGAAGTTAAATGTAGCCTGTAATCTATCATTAAGCTACATTTATGTTAGCCTGTAATTTACATTCGTTAAATGTAGTTAATGCACACCCTCACAATCAATTTTTAAAAGTAATAATATTGCAATCCATATTGCGAAAACTTTGCAAGAACCTTGAGTATTGAGGTCTCAATACTATCTATAGTAAAGTATAATGCACTTGCACCGTAAATGATGCTAACGAGGACAAAAAATTCAACAGGTGTTCAGCTTTAGCGTATTATAAATACGATTAAGCTTCACCATGTATGAAGTATAGATTTCTCTTATCTCTATGTAGTGTTGGAGGCACAACTCAAAAGGCAGGCCCGCGGGCGAGGGCACGGGGCATGCCTCATTCGCATTTTCCATACGGGGCATGCCTGTATGTACGAATAAATTTATGCATATATTCCAGAGTGAAAGAAGGTGGGACAAGTCAAAAAAATAATGAGAAATTATGCTTGGTGTTTGGGGTTGAATGGTACTGAAACTACTCTTGGAACAAGGATTTGCCAAGTATATGCAACGCTGTTTTTGTTTCGGTACGTGCGATGTGCGGGTTCTTCGGCTTGTTGATTGTTTCTCCTTCTAAGAGTGCTTTGTTTTCATAGAAATATATTTTTTGATACATAAAATATACGTATTTTAATACGGGCATGCCTTTTGACCTTGAACGGGGGCATGCCTCGAAAATTTATGTTGTGCCTCCAACCGTACCTCTATGACCTTACACAGCTATCATCAGCCAAACTCGCTAGCTTTGATGCATTGGAATTCAATGTTTGTAATGGGCATCAATAATATAACATATGCATAGCTTCATAACCTGGGAACTGGAACGAACCTGATGCAGATCTATATTGACGGTTAGAATCATGACGCTATAGGGTGACTTCTGTGGCTCGGACAAGAGTTACCCTGAATGAGATGATTAAAGACGTTGAAAAACTTGTCATCAGTTTGGGCCCACCATGGTTTCCTCTAGATCGTTGGATCGTATTGGTACTTTCTGCAGGTTTTTGCTTTCACTTTGTGAATCGATTGGACGATCCGTTTAAATTATAAGATCATTCAATGCGAAGATACATCAACTTCTGTCAAGAAGCTACATATGTCGCGTTACATCCTCGACTTACTGTGAAGGTGAACTATGAAGTGTACCTAGAATGGATCAGATAGGGTCTTCCCACCACACCCTTTATCACAATCCCGTACCGAACATAAACTTTATGATTACAAAAATGCACCCGATCAAATGTTCAAGGCCATGTGACCATGTCTTGGAAATTTTGGTTGTATCTTTCCTCCGAAGTTTTCCCTTTTCAGGTACGAAAGTAGATTGTGAAAATATTTACTTTGTTGACTATAGCAGCTAAATTTTGTATGGACTTAAATGAGTCATCCGTAAACTTTTCATAAGCATATTATATAAAAAGACTTACAATAGACTTTTAATGGATCTATTTCGAAATTTCGTGACATGTAAGAAAATTGTAAATAAAATAAGATATCAAAATCATTGATGGGTGAGTGTACTAATGTCTTAATAAAAGCCTTGGCGAAAAATAAAATTCTTTGATATGAAAATAGTCATATATCATTACTGAAGTGACTGTTACTTGGAAAAATCTACTTTATAGGGTCCACTTGGAGTTATTAATACAAGTCCTTTCAAGGATTTCCCATGACTGCTATCAAAGGTAAGGGAGTTTTGAAAATCCATCAATCACTACTTAATGATGTCCATATATTATACCAAATGAACCAGTACTTGCTCCATCCTAAGTACAGTAAATCTAGTAACGCTGAGTTCACTGTATTTGAACACAGCAGAAAACGAACGTTCGCATTTCTTTTAGGATGGTAAGGACGTACAGACTTTGCCTTGAAGTAATCACAAATTGTCTGACTTGAGAACACATATTCAAATAGCTAACATATATACATTAACTTTTTTCTATCATATTTTTCAATCATGACTTGAATATCGCCATCCTATCTTTTTCTCTAACTTGGTTTGGAAGAGTTATATTGGAAATTACCAGCCTCGGGAAGCTTCTCATTGGGTTCCTCGCCTGCATGTAGCTTGCTAGAAGACGTATTCTCAATATTTCAAGCGTCAGCATGATCTCATATATGGTAGCCTACGTTTTGTAGTTTCTTTGTGACAACTATTGATGTGTGTGGATTCACTTACATGTTTACATTTTGGTTACAAAGTTAAACTTCCCAATAATAACATACATTGGTGTTAGAGTCCCATGTCATTATTGGGAGATGCGTAACTATGAGTATAAACTCCCAATTATAACATCTATTGGTGTTAGGATCAAATGTCACTATTGGAAATTGCAATTTTGAATATAAAGTCCCAATAATAACATATATTGGTGTTAGGGAAGAATGTCACTATTGGAAGGTGCGCAACTTTGAATATATCCTCCCAATGTTAATGTATATTGGTGTTAATGTCAATGTCACTATTGGGAGATGCGTTACTTTGAATGTAAACTTCCAATATCAATATTCATAAGTGTTAGGGTTGGATGTCATTATTGATGTTAATGTCGATGTCATTATTGGGAGATGCGTAACTTTGAATGTAAACTTCCAATATCAATGTTCATTGGTGTTAGAGTCCGATGTCATTATTGGGAGATGCGTAACTATGAGTATAACCTTCCAATTATAACATCTATTGGTGTTAGGGGCAAATGTCACTTTTGAAAATTGCATAATTTTGAATATAAAGTCCCAATAATAACATATATTGGTGTTAAGGGAGAATTTCACTATTGGGAGGTGCGCAACTTTGAATATATCCTCCCAATGGTAATGTATATTGGTGTTAATGTCAATGTCACTATTGGGAGATGCGTAACTTTGAATGTAAACTTTCAATATCAATATTCATTGGTGTTAGGGTTGGATGTCATTATTGATGTTAATGTCGATGTCATTATTGGGAGATGCGTAACTTTGAATGTAAACTTCCAATATCAATGTTCATTGGTGTTAGGGTTGGATGTCACTATTGGTGTTAATGTCGATGTCAATATTGGAAGATGCGTAACTTTGAATATAAACTCCAAATAAATAGAATTTTTGTTATCGAATACTCCAATAGCGAGTAATCTCCAGTAATCTCCAAATGAAAATCTTTTGGTTCCAACTTTGGGTATATGCACTACTGAGTAGACATACTAGCATTGCAAATTTTGAGTCCCATTTGCCTCTCAAAGCGTTAGCATGGTCGCGGACAGCTTCCCAAGCATTACCTCTGCTAGGTAATAACCTCTTACACTAAATACCTGTTGTGCGGTCCCAAGAGTATTCGGTATTGGAGTAGAAACTCCAATACCGGAGTTTGGAGTTGGAGTTTCTACTGTAAAAATATTCATTGGTGTTAAGGTTGGATGTCACTATTAGGAGTTACGTAATTTTGAGTATAACCTTCCAATGGTAACATACATGGGTGTAAGAGTGATGTTACTATTGGGAGTTGCATAACTTTAAATATAAACTCTCAATAATAATAAGCATTGGTGTAAGAGTGATGTCATTATTGAAAGGTGTGTAACTTTGAGAATAAATTCCCAATATTAACATACAATCGTATTAGTATTGGATATCATTATTGGAAGTTGCGTAACTTTGAGTATAACCTCCCAATAGTAACCACATTGATGTTAGGGTTGCATTTCACAATTGAAAGTTGCGTAACTTTGAGAATAAATTCCCAATATTAACACACAATCGTGTTAGCATTGAATGTCATTATTGGGAGTTGCATAACTTTGAGTATAACCTCCCAATAGTAACCACATTGATGTTAGGGTTGCATCTCACAATTGAAAGTTGCGTAACTTTGAGTATAAATTTCCAATATTAACATACAATCTTGTTAGATTTGAATGTCATTATTGGGAGTTGCATAACTTTGAGTATAACCTCCCAATAGTAACCACATTGGTGTTAGAGTTGCATCTCACCATTGGGAGGTGTCTAATTTTGAGTATAAACTCCCAATAATAACATACAATCGTGTTAGGATTGAATATCACTATTGGTATATACGAAATTTTGAACATAACCAATAGTAACATACATTGATGTTAAGATTGGATGTCACTATTGGGAGATGTTAGTTATAGACTTCTTATCACACATTACATCCGCATGATTATATTAGTCGGTAGTCTAAATCACCTAAATACGTTTAATTTAGTTCGCTTCAAGAAAGTTTATTTAAGTAATTTGGGAGATTTTGTACTAAAAGTCATATTGAATGCATTTGAGAACTAATGAGGGGTTCGGAATTAACAAGAGAGAGAAACATGGGGTAAAGAAAATTTAATTTACAACTTTGGATTTTGACCTTGATGAACTATGAGATTTACGTGATTACAAAATGAATAGCTGAGATCTTCCAATCTACCATGCGCCAATAAGAATGTAGATACATTGATTAATTTAGATGCCAAAGGAATTGTAGATGTAGGTAATTTAGTTGCCTTAGTATTCGTTCGCCTAAAATAACCAAATGAATTTCATCTTGAAACCAACCAACAAATTTATAGAATGTACTATGACTCATAGTACATTCTATAAATTTGTTGGTTGATTTCAAGATGAACTTCATTTGTAATTCTATATTGCTCACGAGTATTAAAATAGATGTTATAATTGCGTTTAATTTCAAATTGATCCACAAAATCTAAGTGAAATGATCGATGATATTTTATTTAGCTAAGTCAAGAAAGAATCAATTGTTGAGATAGAACTTTAAATGAAGTGAAATGATCGATGATATTTTATTTAGCTAAGTCAAGAAAGAATCAATTGTTGAGATAGAACTTTAAATGAAGGTATGTCACATTCTTTTTTCTCACAATTATGTATTGTGATCATGATAGGAATTCTAACTCCCAAATTACATTTGAAACTTTCATTATTTGGATAATAATAACAGTACTTCACTATAGTTAATAGAGACGTACTGCTCTAATTAAGCAAATTTACAAGTTACAAACTAATAATTTTGGAATATTATGTCACTCATCATTGGGAGATTTAACTCAGTACTAGGTGAAAGGAATAAGATTACCAATGACACATCCTTGAAATTGGACGTCGGCCCAGTAAGAAGATACCGATGTGAAGAATTAATGATGAGGCTTGATGCAAATAAATGTCACTAGAATATCAAGTAATTTGTGATTTCTAACAATTAACGTCAATTGACGCATGGCTATTGTTTACGACTCAAGCTTAGTAATGGCAAGACTACCAAAATCAGGCTCTGATAATGTTTCACAATAGAACCAGTGCATCACGGAAACCATGCAGTCTACGTCTGATACGGGCCATGCCTGATAAGTAGATACTGATTTTTGCACGTGTGGTGCTCTTCTACCATGAAAACAAGGTCGCAGAACTGATCTTGGATAGATGCATCCATGTTCGAATTGCTCGTCCAACAATGAAGTAGCGTTCCTTACGGTGGTTGGTAAACAAGTGTTACTGGCTGCTTTTCGTTTCCTACATCGGAGCTTTCTCACATCGGAGAACGGTCCAGACTCTTCATCTAGTTGAAAGAAGAAAATGTGACGAAGCTGCTGGAATGGCAGAACGGCCTTATCTCAGGAGAAGGTAACCGAAATGTTATAGTCCGAGCATTTTATGATGAGAGAAAGCGGACAAATACTATCCTAAAACCACATATAATTACTGCTTTTACAACAGTACCATGCCATTCTTTTCAACGCTGCGGGCCCAGCTTTGGCCGCTTCTATGCCACTTGTATTGCTGCTCTCTTGCCAATATGAAGAGCTGGTCCACACATTCTCTTCTGAAGACGCTTGTGGGCCAGTCGTCATGTAATCAGATGGAAACTTCCGTTCCGCATTGTTGAAGGTGGGCCATATATATGAGCATACGCGTGGATGATTCGTTTCGAATCTTCTATCTGACTTAGATGTATTTCTGCTCGTTAGTGCGTTGCTTTGGATCTGAGCCAGTCCAGTGAGTGCAAAGGAAGAAGCTAAAAACTCGAGCAATGTGAGTTGATTGGATGGTTGAGCTTTCTTCCACAACAAGCAAGCCATCTGAAATCTGGTGTGGTTTTCCTGGATGTTGCATCCAAAATGCTTGCGAATGGTTGAGCCTGACAGACGTCACTTATAAATACGCTCGACATTCTACTGATCGATCGACAATCTACCTTTGGATCGACGATGAATGAGATGAGCTATGAGGACACCAAAAAATCAGCATATCGATCAACATCCGTTGATAAATGCGTCTCAAATACCGTATAGTAAAGTAGAACAGATCAAGAGAGCAGCCGAGGCAGGTGATAGGACAAGAATTGAGGCCCTTTTCAGAGAGTGGCTGCTTCAAGGAGACGATGGGACCCTCGTCTTTCACTGCGCTGTACAGTTCTGCCCTCATCTTGTGCTGGAACTTTACCCCAGCTTCAAGGACAACATAGACGTCTCCATGCTAATCTCGTACCACACTTTGCACTTGGCAGCAGCAGGCGGGCACACCGACATCGTACAATTGCTAATCGAGCACTGCAATACTTACAATCCTCTCGACCTTTACGACGTCATCAATGGACTGGACTCGGACAGCTCGGACCCTCGGCATGTGCAGTGGACAGCTCTCCATTACGCGTCTCAGAATAACCACCTTGGCGTGGTGGAAGCGATTCTGAGAACAAATGTGCCGATGCTTCTTCATTTCAACCCCGCCGCCGATTTCACCACTCCATTACATCTGGCGATCAAACCCGGAGACAAGAGGCAAAGATCCGTCGACTATGGAATTCTTTCAGCGCATACCAGTCGCCTTCCCTTAATCAAGCAGCTTCTCAGCGCACCGGAAGGGAAGATACTCTTGAACATGAAGAATTCGGAGGGTAATACTCCTGTCCATCTTGCAGTAGAACAGATGAATGTGGACGTCGTAGAGTTACTGATAAAAGAGTCGACTCTGATCGCAACGGAGACGAACAACGAAGGCCTTACGCCTTCTCGTCTAATTTGGGATATGTTGAACGCCAAGAACCCCAAGAATTCAACGCCGGCCAGAATTATGAGAAAGCAGCTGCGGATGCTCCCTGACGTGCAAGAAGAAGAGAACAACATGATGGCCGAGAAAATGAGGTACTACACCGCAGCCAACAACTTCCTCGTCGCGGGAGCTCTTCTCGCATCAGTCACGTTTGCAGGGATCATCTCCGCCACGGCTCTGCCATCTGAGTTCTCCGATGAATACGGAAGTGAGGTGCCTGCACCGCCACCGCCACCGCAGGGGTCTGCACCGCCACCGCATGCTCCAGAAGATCGTACTTACAAGGGATATTACCTGAGAGCCATCTCCACATACCGAGGCTCGACTAATCTCTCTTTCTACTTCGCCATCATCACCGTCATGGCTTCAATCCGGCTCATAATCTCGGTAGAAGGAACCATGGATCCGGAGGATGAGATCGCGTTTCTTCGACACAGCACCGTTCTCATATCCTTCGCGCTGAACATCTCCACGGGCTTCGCCGTGGTGGCTTTCATTTCAGGAGGACTGTGCCACATCCCTGTCAGTGAGAGTCGGTGGGCCGACGTGCTCGCGAAATGGGAAGACGGTCATCATGTGGATATTGTGAAGTCCACCATGCTGACCACCACCGTGGTAGGAATACTCCTCATCCTCCCAGTCATCCTCATCCCACTGCTTCGAGACGATTTACCTGTTCTCAGAGCGGCGTACCTGCGGGCGTGGAATGCCCCGGCGGGCCGTAGGCATTGGATCCACAAATCCGTGCAGCCGCTCGCCATTGCAATTCTGCTGGCTGGAATTGCCATCCTTATCTTCTTCACTTGGGCAAGAGCTTCTCATCCCAGCGAATACTACAAACAGAAACATTGATCACGATTACTACTAGAGTATCATTGAAAACTTCCTCATCAATGATACTCTCCTCCTCTGCTGATATTCCCCATTTCCCATATCACTCCATCTTAAACCCACGCCATAATTCATAGGAATTTAGTAATCTTCCGTAGGCATTGCCAAACTGTCTCATGCGATGTGGCCTTCCGAGTCATATTTCTCTTCGTAGCTGGTTTCTGCACCCGATGTAGCATTTGCGGTTGGTTGTGGAAACTGAGGAATCGAAGAGTCCATAGTGTAATGGTCGAGAACAGGCTGAGACATGCGTATTTTGATTCTGACTTGTAGAATTAAGGCTAGAAGGGATTAGATTGAGGGCCGTTCGGACTCGATTGTCTTTGGGGCATGCACATCTTGCGACTTCAGGCTTACGAGGGAACGCTCTCGCATGGTAATTTTCTGTGGACCGAGGAAATCTGGAAATTTGCTGGACCTGTAAGTTTCTAGCCTTGGCAGAAAGTCAAGAACCGTCCAAATCGATCTACTGTCCGCAATTCCTCGATGTCTCTCGTTTCATGTTCTTAATGAATTGGATTTTCGAGTTCCATCTGACCAATAAATATTTGCGACCTGCTCATTGGACTTATTCAAGATCCACCAAGAACACTCAACCAGAAAGTGGATGGTACTGACCTTTTCTATCTAAGTTAGAGATTTGTAATTTGGACTTGGAATATATAGGTTTATGCTTGGAGAGCAGGTCGGACCTGCCTTGACTGCAAATGCTTAATTATTTTTTGTGACAAAGTTATTCCTTTCATGGACTTGTATAAAAACCTCAAGATCCGAACACAATTTAATGGCACGAGAACTATTTGCAATAAGTGCACGAGTGAAATATAACTGAAAAAGCAAATGGGAAATGTTCATATGCCAAATCTCGCTCATTTGTGAGGCATTTGAGTTAGATACAAGTCTTGATAAATCAACTCACATATCTCGGTTGGTCGATCATGTGGTTTTTTAAAGATTAGCACCATGACGCTGCAGCCTTGCTCCCCATTTATGCATCAGAGAGATACTTAATTTTTTTGTGTAGCTAAATAGCATGCTCTTTCAACAACTTTTCAGTAGGCTAATGTGAGAGTACGCTGATAAGAAACTGGAGTTTGCTTTCGTTGCAATAATGCATCATTGGTAGCAAAGAAGCAATTCCGATGATATTGTCAGGACCAAAACAAAAATACAGTAGTAGGTTTACACTTAAAACATTGACAAAATTCTGGTCAATGATTACGATGAGATTTATGGAATAAATCACAATATGTTTGAAAGTATAGACATTTGGAGATACATCAGAGTTAATAATTATTTGAACTATGATTTACTAAACCAGATTTCGGACAAGATTATGTTGCATAATGAAGAAATATGAAATTTATTTTCACCGTCTCCTCTCAACAAATCAGTGACATCAGTAATTTATGAGGAAGATCTTTTTGAATGAGGTGGAATCATGACTGCTGCTTTGAGCAAATTGTGGAGGGATGATCAGTAATTCTGCAGTTTTTATTGGTTTTCTCTAATATACTGGACTCGGTAAAATGATTTGCGCGTTGAAGAAAGTCTAAAAGAGCAGTCTACACATGTAAGTTGAAGAGGGCTTGACTTGACGACATTAAGGCATTAGGCAAGTAAATTAGCTTTGCAATGGTAAAGTCTCGTGATGATACATGGGAGAGGTGAAAGCGTCGAAAGCTTCAATGGAGAAAGTGAGGCCATTTAATGCGAAGACACATTGATGACTTGAGAAGACTTTGAGTTGACTTTGGAAGGCTTGTTTGTCACGTGACAATGAGACTATCTGAGTCTCTAGCTGTGTCGAAAAATTCGCTACGACCAGTCGTTATAGCCGATTGAGAGTCGAGCTTGTCCCAAGAAGTGAGATGCTAGTCTGTAGGAAAACAAGATCGAAAATGTACATTGTTCACAAGGATAACGTCGAAGTACAGGATTTTGGTTTTAGTGAAGATAAGTGATGAAATCCAAGATAGCATGGTGAAACCACTGGACTCAAGATCAAAGAAGGTTTCAAACCAAAATATTGTTCACCCATAATTAATTTCTATTTGAAAATAAAAGTACCACCCATGTGAATAATCATAGCTGCCCATCAGTAAAAAAATGATTTGAGATTACATATTAGTGAATAGAAATTATTCTTCCAAAAAACTGTCAGTATTATAACACATTTACTAGCTGAATATTAAAACACGAATCATCATTCCAGTTTGTCCAGAATGTTTTGAAATAATTTAGGATAAACAAACATGCAGTTGCAATGATGAACTACAAAAACCTCCGGGTGTTACATAGACACTTCGTTTAAAAATTACTGCGGTTATTTTCTAGGTGGAGTAGCTCATTGGAAAAAGTTCCATATTTCTCAGCAAGTTCAAATCAGGACAATTGTAAAATATAGTAAAAAGAATCTTAGTACTTTTTAACCATATTAAAAAATGACTCACATTCCAACCAGTTGAAACCTACAAGGTTGCAATGACCTTCGATTTCCTTCACATATTCTATTACCTGGGATTACCTGGGAAGGGATATCTGGGATTCTTTGCAATGGAGGGTCACGAGAGGCAAGTCAAGAGATTTGTTGCAGACTAGTATGTTAGGTTTTGCAACCGGAAAATTGCATCTCAGGATTCGATGGATTTTTTCAGCTTCTGTAATGAGCAAAAGGTCCTAAGAAATTGCAACAGGCCATGGGTTTTCTCAGATTTTTGTAACTAGCGACCAATTTCTCAGGCTTCACAATTGACAACAGAATTCTCAGCTTTTGCAATCGGCAGAACGTTTCTTATACTTCGCAACAGGAGACGGGTTTTCTCAGCTTTTGCACTCAGCGAAGAGTTTGCGAGGATTCACAACACGAGAAAAGTTTTTCCAGCCTTGGATACTGGCAACGAATTTCTCAAGGTATTGTTAGCTTTCTGAACCTTCAAAGGATTTCTCGAGCTTCGCAATTGGAAAGATTTTTTCTCAGATTTCAAATGGACTGCTCAAGTTTTTTCAAATTTTTATTCGCAGCAACTTAAATACAGCATTCTTGTGCATCACTTTCATAGATATTTTTACATTGTATGTATAATCAAGCTTTAGTCCATTTTCGACGACAAGCAGTTTCAAGAATAAAGCTTGATAGTCATGGCGGTGAAGCCGAGAGAGTATGAGAGAAATATGGTGTATAATTTTTTGCTTTTAGTCCATTGTAACGTGGGATCGGGTGGTATGAGAGCGAAAGCTGTACCGATTGGAGACAGGATTGTTTGATGTTGAAGTGGAAGATGAGGAGAGCAAAGCCTTGATTGGGGATGCGAGACCATCCATCCCCTCGCGCCTGAAGTCTGAGGGATATTAACAAGGGAGAAACTTGGTGACGAGTCGGAAGAAGGTGGCTACGATGTCAAGGCACGGTCGGTAACATAAGCTCCGAATCTGAAGAAGCTTAGCGTGCCGGAGGCGGAAGAAGAGTGAGTTGCGCCGGAGGTTCTTATCTGAACATGATGGCTACCAACGTTCTTCCCGATTTCATGTCTTTGGTTTGCATAGTCTTTGTAGAAAATGCCTCTGCTAATGTCGTTGAACGATGACGGGCAAATCAGTCAAGGTGAAGTCCACAAGCGGAAGAGTTCATGGAACTTATCACAGTCTTCTCGCTTCTGAAGAACTGAAGTTGCAAGTTCAGACGACCCAGGAGTCGTATTTGGAGCTGCGTCGAATTCTGAATTCTGAATTCTGAATGCGGTAATTGAAGGGTGAGAGCCATAAGTTTTAGAACACGGTTCAGACCCTAGAACAGAGGGTGTGAGATCTGACCATTGAGGCAATTGCGTAGCTGGTGGCTTTGGTCAGGCGGTGTTCGCACTTCTTGCTTGTGTTATGCGAGTTCGCCAAAGCTAAGCCATTGGAGTTGTTGCGGGAGGCCATGGACAATCTCGGAGATATCAAAGAACTGCGTAAGGAAGTGTATCAATCATGAGGTCATGTTTTCTGGGAGGCGATAAGTGGTGTTTTTTCTGGTGTTTTTTGTCAGACGTGTCGGACATGCAAATGAGAGTGGGCGCCTATGTTAGAGCGTTATAATCAGTATCGGGCGGCATCGCTTGGTTTAGAAAATCCAGAGGTGTTAATACGTGTGAGTGTTTGTTAGGATTAGCCGTAAGGAACTCTTGTATATGTAAGTTTGTTGGTGTTTAACTGCACGGATAGTTAATTGCAGAAGTTCCCTCAAGCAGCTATTGTTGACAGGGTAGGAGAGTATCCTCGTCAAGGCATGTCAGAGAATTCAGCGATGTCTTGCCTTGACGGAGCTTCCGTCAAGGCAAGACTTGTAGTTTGAAAATATGCCTGAGCACTCAATTTGTGAAAATGCAGAAGCAGAGCCTTAGCTAGAGCCTTGCTTGATCTGCAACTTGAGCAACTTGTACGGGAGCAATTTCCATTGCCAAAGGACTGAATTCAGTATTCAGTCCGTGGAAATGTGGTTTTCATTCTTGTGTATGATAGGAATGCATGTGTAACAGGAAAAACCCTGAACGGATATATTTATCCTTCAGACCGATGAACTGCACAGTGTGTAAAGATAGATAAATAAGCTCCTGGTTCTTGGTAGAGCCAATTTGTGGGTTTCAAAATGAAACCCACATACTGGCCTACATACTAGTCTGATAATGAAACTTTCATTATCTTGGTAACGAACTTAACCGGGAGTATTTCTGGTGCAGTAGGAAGATGTATGTGACATAAATCGATATTCAAATCTCTTGCAGGTGCAACCTTCTGAGAATATATCGTAACATGCTTAATTACCCCACCTAATTTTTATAAATTCAAGAATCTAGGCATTTCGCAGAGCAGAATGCACGACATCAATCACTTAATGGGTTGTTCTCTTACTCTTTTGCATGACACATGACAACGGTTTATATCCTTTACTACATTTGCTACATAAGCTGACCAAATGTATGGCTTTGAGGCTACATTTAAATGCAAAGGTGAGACCGAGAATCGTCATCAGTAGAAAGCGAACATTCCCTGTGATTGTGGCTCATACAGTCCTAAGAAGTGCAAAGATTTTGTGAGTACAAATTCAAGGATTTAAATTAGGATGTAACATAGCCCTTTAGCGAATGTTATTAAACTGCAGATCGGTGCAGTCTTGAAAATGGCAGCTACAAGAGAGTTCACGTCGTTAATACTACTGCTAGTTTCCTACAGCAGGAGCAGATTGCCGAACTAAGACTTGATGAACAGATGTTCATTACCTGGGTGGAAGACTGGTCCCCTGAACAATGTGGCCCAGTTATTGTTCTCTATTTTGCATCATGCTGTTTCTGCTGAAGGATCTTTTCTTAATTTTGTTCACTGTGATTTTGAACATCCAAACGGTGCTTATAATATTTCTCTCCATACACCATTTGCATTGGAGTCCGAAATGCTATATATTAAGCCTGGTCTCGAGTCTTCAGAAAAATCTCAATTGAAAAAACTATGAGAATATCCATTCCTGCAATTTCTTTAGATAATGAGTCTAAATTGCGGGCCCATGGCTGAAAGTTGAGGTCTTGTCCGAATTGTAGGTAGTTGGGGAGAATTATAACGGCAATTTTTATTTTTTAAATAAATGATTCTTCATCTCAGAAGTGCTTAGCATCTTGCAGCTCCATAACAAACTTAGCCTTTTGTTCCAGCTTTGTAGACTCCAGGATACCTTTACTTTACAATAAAAAAATGATTAAATTGAAGCCCAGGTAATCATTCATTTTTGCCTCCGCCA